TGTCTCTATTTGCAGACGACATGATAGTATACCTAGAAGACCCCATCGCCTCAGCCCAAAAACTCCTGAAACTGATAAACAACTTCAGCAAAGTCTCAGGATATAAAATGAATGTGCAAAAATCACAAGCATTCCTATACACCAATAACAGACTTAAAGGAAGTCAAATCAAGAACGAACTGCCATTCACAATTCCTACAAAAAGAATAAAATACCTTGGAATACAACTCACAAGGAACGTAAGGGACCTCTTCAAGGAGAACTACAAACCACTGCTCAACGAAATCAGAGAGGACACAAACAGATGGAGAAATATTCCATGTTCATGCTTAGGAAGAATTAATATCGTGAAAATGGCTATACTGCCCAAAGTAATTTACAGAATCAACGCTATCCCCATCAAGCTACCATTGACTTTCTTCACAGAACTGGAAAAAACCACCATGAACTTCATATGGAACCAAAAGAGAGCCCGCATAGCCAAGTCAATTCTAAGCAAAAAGAACACAGCGGGGGGCATCACACTACCGGATTTCAAACTATACTACAAGGCTACAGTAATCAAAACAGCATGGTACTGGTACCAAAACAGAGATAGAGACCAATGGAACAAAACAGAGGCACCGGAGGCAACACAACATATCTACAACTATACAATCTTTGATAAACCTGACAAAAACCAGCAATGGGCAAAGGATTCCCTGTTTAACAAATGGTGTTGGGAAAACTGGCTAGCAATGTGCAGAAAGCAGAAACTGGACCCCTTCCTGACACCTTACACTAAAATTAACTCCAGATGGATTAAAGACTTAAACATAAGACCTGGCACGATAAAAACCCTAGAAGGAAATCTAGGCAAAACTATCCAGGACATAGGAGTAGGCAAGGACTTCATGACCAAAACACCAAAAGCATTGGCAACAAAATCCAAAATAGACAATGGGACCTAATGAAACTCCACAGCTTCTGCACGGCAAAAGAAACAGTCACTGGAGTGAATTGGCAACCAACAGAATGGGAAAAAATTTTTGCAGTTTACCCATCTGACAAAGGGCTGATATCCAGAATTTACAAAGAACTCAAACAGATTTACAGGAAAAAAACAAACAAGCCCATTCAAAAGTGGGCAAAGGATACGAACAGACACTTTCCGAAAGAAGACATATATGAGGCCAACAGTCATATGAAAAAATGCTCATCGTCACTGGTCATCAGAGAGATGCAAATCAAAACCACATTGAGATACCATCTCACGCCAGTTAGAATGGCAATCATTAATAAATCTGGAGACAACAGATGCTGGAGAGGATGTGGAGAAAAAGGAACACTTTTACACTGTTGGTGGGAGTGTAAATTAGTTCAACCATTGTGAAAGACAGTGTGGCGATTCCTCAAGGCCTTATAAATAGAAATTCCATTTGACCCAGCAATCCCATTACTGGGTATATATCCAAAGGACTATAAATCGTTCTACTATAAGGACACATGTACAGGAATGATCATTGCAGCACTGTTTACAATAGCAAAGACCTGGAATCAACCCAAATGCCCATTGATAATAGACTGGATTGGAAAAATGTGGCACATATACACCATGGAATATTATGCAGCAATCAGAAATGATGAGTTTGTGTCGTTTGTAGGGACATGGATAAATCTGGAGAACATCATCAGCAAACTGACACAAGAACAGAAAATGAAACACCGCATATTCTCACTCATAGGCGGGTGATTAAAAATGAGAACACGTGGACACAGGGAGGGGAGTACTAAACACTGGGGTCTACTGGGGGGGAAAGGGGAGGGCCAGTGGGAGGGGGAGGTGGGGAGGGATAGCCTGGGGAGAAATGCCAAATGTGGGTGAAGGGGAGAAAGGAAGCAAAACACACTGCCATGTGTGTACCTACGCAACTTTCTTGCATGTTCTGCTCATGTACCCCAAAACCTAAAATGCAATAAAAAATTAAAAAAAAACAAAAAAAAGAATAATAAAAAAAAAAGAACCTAGTGGTTGCTGTAAAATGCAATTCTTTTTTTTTTTTCTTTTTTCTGGCAAACATGAGTTTTACTTTGTCACACCCAGGCTGGAGGACAGTGGTACCATCTTGGTTCACTGCAACCTCCGCTTCCCAGGTTCAAGGAGTTCTCCCACCTTAGCCTCCCAATAGCAGGGACTACAGGCACACCATCATACCTGGTTGATTTTTGTATTTTAAGTAGAGACGGGGTTTCACCATGTTGGCCAGGCTGATCTTAAACTCCTGACCTCAGGCAATCTGCCTGCCTTGACCTCCCAAAGTACTGGATTACAGGTGTGAGCCACTGCACCTGACCCAGTTCTTTTGTTTATAGTTAAGTCCTTCATTTGTACGATAGATGTTTATTTCCAATTTACTCTTATGGAATCTTGCAAACATTTAAAGAAAATAAGAGACAATTGTAAATATAAGGAATGTCTGTGTACCCATTGCCCTGTTTCAGTGCTTTAGTTTTACCTATCATGTCTTGTCTTCTAACCTGCATGATTTTAAACATATTCCAGTAGTCATGTAACCAAATGAGATAGCTTTATAAACATACACAATTCTTGATTGTAATTTCATATAAGTTACTTTCTTAAAGTTGTTTTTTTTTTTTGAGATGGAGTCTTGCTCTGTCGCCTGGGCTGGAGTGCTGTGGTCTGATCTTGGCTCACTACAACTTCCATCTCCCAGGTTCAAGCAATTCTCCTGCCTCAGCCTCCCAAGTAGCTGGGATTATAGGCGCTTACCACCACACCCAGCTAATTTTTGTATTTTTAGTAGAGAGGAGGTTTCATCATGTTGGCCAGGCTGGTCTTGGACTGACCTCCAGTTATCTGCCTGCCTCGGCATCCCAAAGTATTGGGATTACAAGTGTGAGCCATCACACCTGGCCCTTAAACTTTTTTTTTTTTTGAGATGGAGTCTTACTCTGTTGCCCAGGCTGGAGTGCAGTGGCATGATCCTGGCTCACTGCAACCTCTGCCTCCCAGGTTGAAGTGATTCTCCTGCCTCAGCCTCCAGAGTAGCTGGGATTATAGGCACGCACCGCTATGTCCAGCTAATTTTGTAGTTTTAGTAGGGATGGAGTTTCACCATGTTAGTCAAGCTGGTCTCAAACTCCTGACCTCAGGTGATCCGCCCACTTCGCCCCTCCCTAAGTGCTGAGATTATAGGTGTGAGCCACCATGCCGGACCAAAATGTTTTTTATCTTTTTTACTTCCTTAAAGTGTTAACGTGATATCTTTCTCACAATTCACAATTGGTATCTGCTCTGATAGGCCAAAAAAAAAAAAAAAGAAAAAAAGGAAAAAAGACATCCCTTTCCTTCTTTCAATTTTCAAATAAATACTCATTTCTGTTTAAGTTCCTAGGTACTTCTATGAGAGTCCTTGAATCCAGCCTTGTTACTACAAAAAAATTATAAAACATATATAAAAACCAATGTAGTGTTGTTCTTCTTGAAGGTCATTGTGTATTAATTTGTAAAGTTTTGGCTATGGTGAGGTATCAGGTCTTCGCATCCAGTAACGTGTTGCTACAGGTGTCCCTGGAACAGCTGACCTCTCCCTGATCTGGTCTTTTCTCTGTCTCCACTTGGAAATCCATCTGCCTGATGGTTACTCTCTCCCACATATGAAGGATTCAGACCAGATTCCAGAGAAGAAGTTGTAGGTCACGGGATTTCTATCCCATCCTCTGCTGTGTTCCACCCCACCATCTCATTTCTAGAACTCTAGGTCTAAATTCTGTCTGTTCTCGATCCCACAACAGGCATAGAACAGGTCCTGTGGTGGTTGAGCATATGCCATTTTTCCAGAGCTCTCAGTCTCCTCTTAGCATTAGAAGTTCCCTGAAGGTGAGGTGTACATCCTGAGCCATCAGCAAATACTGAGCACCATTTATACTGCAGCATGTTACTGGCTGTCAGAAGTGCCTGCATAAACAGGCCCTCCTCCTCCAGCTCCAGAGCTCATAGTCCACGGAAGAAATACTTCGGTCAAATCATTTTATGTGTAACAAACAACTCAAATTGTAGAATAGGGGTTTCTGAATTCCATTTATTCAAAACGCTGTAAGGCTCAGGTTATGTATTGAAGTCCTCAAACACAAGGAAAAACTAGAGAAGTGATTTGCCCAAGAGTAACGTGTTATTTCTCATTTTAAGCCCTGAACTCATTCCTCACTCCTCATGTTTTTCTGTCATGCACAGTATGCTCCTGCTGCTGATCATTGAGGCCATCCTTTTCCTTTTGCCATTTTTTAAAGTTTTAATTATTTGTTATTTTCTATTTGTTTTTACATTTTTATTTGCTGCTTTCCTTTTTTTTTTTTTTTTTTTTTTTTTGAGACAGAGTCTTACTTTGTCGCCAGGTGCCAGGCTGGAGTGCAGTGGCACGATCTCGGCTCACTGCAACCTCTGCCTCCTGGGTTCAGGCAATTCTCCTGCCTCAGCCTCCTGAGTAACTGGGACTACAGGTAAACGCCACCACGCCCAGCTAATTTTTGTATTTTTAGTAGAGACGGGGTTTCACCATGTTGGTCAGGATGGTCTCGATCTCTTGACCTCGTGATCCACCTGCCTCGGCCTCCCAAAGTGCTGGGATTACAGGCTTGAGCCACAGCGCCCGGCCTGTTTTCTTAAATTAGATGAGAATGAACACCTAGAGTAATTCTAGTGGGAATTCAGAAACGTATCTTTTAGGTTCAGCTGGTATGTGACAGAAAATTTTTTATCTAGCATTAATATGTTTTTTAATAATTGTATTTATTACTTTGTATAAGGTGAAGAATAATTTTCTTCTTTAACCTTGGAGGAAGTATTTGCTAATTGCTCTCTCTTTATAAGCATTAAAATAACTTTTATGACTTCTTTATAACATTATTTAATGAATGTAGGATGCTTTAGAAAATAGGAAATAGGATAAAATGATAGATACTTATATATTTAAAAAGTGGAATTATTGTCTGTTTTTCAGAAACCTGTCGGGGAATTTGTTTTCTTCATTATCTCAAGGAACTTTTGATTATCTTGGCTCATTACGGTCTTTGTAAGTAAGAATTTTCTCTTTTGATTTTCACATCTTTTTGAAAATTAAAAACATTTATTATATGGTTTCAGAGACCTTGTGAGGACAATATTGTCAATTTTCAAAAGTTAGAATCTCACTTGAGAGCTGGTATTCACATAGAAAAACACACAGGAAGCCTGAATAATGTAGTTTAGACTAGGACAGCCATTTTCTGCTTAGGATACTGTTATCACTCTATATTTAGAGTAAATAAACTGGTAATTGTTTCTTTTTAACTTTATTTCAAATTATAAAATGTTGTATTGTTGGACTAATTAAATTTCCAAAGTATAAAATATCCCTATGAAGAATTTGTAAGAATATTTTGTGCTTTAGGAATTAAATTTTATCCTGTAAACCCACCCTCCCGCCCCTCACTTAAAATCAAATTTACAGCTTATTACTGATGTTTCTAGGGATGTTTATTTAGAATGCCTACTTTATGAAATCAGTTTAAGTTCTGATTTACACAGAGCTTTAGAATTGGTTGATTTTTTTTTTTCCGGACTGTTTTGTTAACTGAGATTGCATAGAAGTTACTTTTGAAAGTAACCATTTTCAGATAAACCTTAACATATCTCAGACTATAAATTATCATTAGTTTATTGGAATTACAGTTAAATATAATGTTTTTCAGATTTTCGTTGTGAGTAATTTACAGGATTGAGTATCTTTCTTCTAGGGAAAGAGTTTTTCTCTCCTGATTCCTCTGTTCAGTGTACCCTGACTTCTCTCATCTCTATTTCTTTCCTACAACTATCATTTAAATCTCATTTAGGAGTCTTCCTTTGGATGTAGCTAACAGGTTAGAAGCCCCGACTAGCTCCTCACCATCACAGCAGGCATGTGTATGTATTTCTGGAGTCACTTTGGCTCTTACTCCATCTTGTTTCTCTTTGTGGCACCCTTATCATTCTTATCCAGACTATGTTTGAGCAGAAACATCTCCTTTTGGCATATTTAGTGGGCTCAAGCCAGCCATTTCTGCAAAGATTAGGAAATAAAAAAGAAAAGATAGTCTGGCTTTTGAGATCCTGGGTAGCAGGAACGTGGGAATTATTTTCATCCCCCAGATGGGGAATATTGCCAGTGTTTTTACCTGGTAATGTTAGGAACTGACCAGAAGGTGGTGCTTAGGAATTAGGAGTCTGTTTTGTCCTCTTTCTGGTATTGTTTAAATTTATTTTCTATGCTGTATTCCATCAGACCCCCTTTCTTTTTTCCTTATTCTTTTTTGCCAAAACTGAGGAGGTGAACCCTGAGCTAACACTCTAGCTGTCTTAGAAGCACACACGCTTACATTATTGCACTTTGTTGATTTATTTTTATAGAACATGTTGCATTCTATTTTACCTATGTTTACATTTTGATTCTTCTGTGATATGGTGCCCTCCATATTGGCAGGAACGGGGTCCTGCATTTATTTTTATTAGCTGGACTTAGCAAACGTGTGGCACATGAATAGTCAGCACCTAGTAATTACAGTGTTTAAGAGATTTTTGTGCTTGTATCTCAGCTCTGTTTATCCATTTTTTCTTCTTGCACCCAAGTGCCAAATTATAAAGCTTTTTGCTTCATATAAAGACATGCCTTTACTATCTGTTACATCAAAGCTGACACAGTCTTATTTGTATGCTTTTGATTTGTTGGGTCTTTATCTCTTACATTTGTAAATATCTGTGATGTCACTTGGTGCATAGCAGAAAGGGGTCAGAAACAGTCCCTACCCTAGGGGAGCTCACAGTTTAGACATACAGAATATAACCATGCAAAACAATCTGTATTGCTTTAGGTTGCTGTTTCATTGCCCAAATCAACAGAGTTTGTAGGCATTTAGGCCAAGAATATGGCAGTAATGCTGGAAAATTGACGATGGCTTCAAGATCCAATATTAATGCCACACACTTCATGATAAATGGTAGAAGCTTGATAGACAGGATTGGGATTTGGGATCAGAAACTTGGTGTTCAGTAGCTTGTCACATAGAAGAGGGATATCTGCCAAAGAGTCTTCACCTACCAAATTTCATCTAAAACAGAAACCCAGGATCAGCTAGGAACAGTGTTGGAGTCCACCACTCTGCAATTCAGCTCCCTGGAGAAGAACTGTAACTAGTCGATGGAATGTACTGTAGGTGTGGTATGGGTGAACAGTATTGTGCTTGCCACCAGAAATGTAACCCAATATAAAACAAAAGTGCTATTTAATTTTACTCACTATAATCTCTAAGTTTTATTTGCATATTACAGGGAATTCCAGACTGAGTATCTTTTGTGTGACTGTAACATACTGTGGATGCATCGCTGGGTAAAGGAGAGGAACGTCACAGTACGGGATACCAGGTGTGTTTATCCTAAGTCACTGCAGGCCCAGCCAGTCACAGGCGTGAAGCAGGAGCTGTTGACATGCGGTAAGGGAGAAATCCAGACGGAGAAAGCATTTGCCGTATTTTGACTTCCCACCGTGTTTTTCTTGACAAATTGTAAGATTCTGTTTATACTTGGACAGAACTAGTATGCAGCCATTAATCATTATGGATTTGATAATATTTAGTTTATGCCAACAATTAAGCCAGCTAGATTAAACGACCTTTTTTTTTTTCCCAATTGATCTTTAAGGTAGCTGTGTTTAGGTTCCCAACAGCTTTCTTTAGGCAAAGCAATTTCAAAGAATAGATTTTCAAATTTTCATGAGTTGGCAACTCGTGAATTTGTCAGTAGTAACACAATCTCAGGATGCACAATCCTGTTTGTGGGTGGGAATGTGAATGTTACAGCTTTTTTGAAGCAACAGGTTTCAGTGTTCTTAAAAGACTGATACAGGCTGGGTGTGATGGCTCATACCTGTAATCCCAGCACTTGGGGAGGAGGCAGGTGGATCACCTGAAGTCAGGAGTTCAAGACTAGCCTGGCTAACATGTGAAACTCTATCTCTACTAAAAATACAAAAATTAGCTGGGTGTGGTGGCGGGTGCCCGTAATCCCAGCTATTTATGAAGTGAGGCAGGAGAATTGCTTAAACCTGGGAGGTAGAGGTTGCAGTGAGCAGAGCTCATGCCATTGTACTCCAGCCTGGGTGACAAGAGTGAAAGTCTGTTTCAAAATAAAAAAAAGGTGATATGGTTAGATCTAGTAATTCTACATCTTGTAGTTAATTCTTAGGAAATGATCAGCTGTGTATGTAAATCTTTAGACTCTGTGTATAAGCATATTCTAAATTCTCAAAAATAGGGGATTGGTTTAATTACTAGTGACATATGTATTCAATGAATGTAACTATTGAAAATCGTAATTTCGAAGCATATCTGAGGGAAATGACATATTTGCCACGTGTTAAATGGAGAAAACAGAAAAACACACACCTACACACACAACCCCATAAAACCAAAACGGTCCTAAAACGATGACGGGAGGTCCCAGTTTAGTCTTTGTTTTGAAATGAAAACTCTATCATATTTGTTTCCTTTTCTCTTTATTACTATTTTTGTATCACAAGTAAAATATGCTCACTAAATGAAAATTAAGATTTGTGGAAAGAAGAAAATGAAAAGAAGGAGAGAAACAAAGCCCATGTTTATGTTCGTGACTGAAAGATAGCTTGTGTTAAGACCCTTTTGTATCATCTTCTGTGACTTTTTGGTATATTTTAACAAAAATATTGTCATACTCTAATAATATTTTATAACCTTTTTAAAGTTGAATTAATGTAAACATATTTTCTTATTTAAAATAAATGCATATCAATCCATTCTCTAGATGTAGCCATAATTTAACAACTTCTATATTACTGCATGTTTCACTTGTTAATAATTTCTTGCTTCATAAATGATGGAAGGACTAATTTCTTTGTATGCATTTTTGCATATTTTCTATTATTCTTCCGGATACACTACCACTAAAAGAATTGTCATGTTAGAAAAATGGACTAAATATTTTAAAGTCTTTTAATGACCAATTTGTGTACATTTTTGTACATATATTTAAAATCTTTCCCTTTTATTTTTCTGACTGAAAGGATAAAAACTGATTATAATATATGGGATCTTAAAATACTGGTTTTTCCTTTTTTCTTTAAATGTTCTGATTTTTCTGCAAGGAACATGCATAGTTTTACAGCCAAAAACCTGTGTTGTAATCAAAGGTTATACAGTTTCCAAAGTGTATTTTAAAGTCGTAAATATCAGCATTTACTTATCATTGATGCCATTTTCTAGAGCACAGCTTATTCTCTTAGTTCATTTCTGTAATTATCTGATAGTGTTGTGATCCACTGAAGAGGAATAACACTAAATGTCAGAACTGAGTAGGAAATGGTTTCTTTTTAATTTCGTTTTTATCTGTTACCACTAAACTCAGTAGCAGCCTGGTTGGTATTAGCATTAGAATGCTGGTTACTAGGGAATATTTGTTGTTCTATTTTTATAATTTTCTGTAGAATTTCTGTAAAATTAAAATTCTGTAGAATTTTAGTTATGGTGTTTGAAAATGGTATTTGTTTACTGAGTCTTTGTTTCGCTGTCTCTAGGTCCTCCACTTGAATTGCCATCTTTCTACATGACTCCATCTCATCGCCAAGTTGTGTTTGAAGGTGACAGCCTTCCTTTCCAGTGCATGGCTTCGTATATTGATCAGGACATGCAAGTGTTGTGGTATCAGGATGGGAGAATAGTTGAAACTGATGAATCTCAGGGTATTTTTGTTGAAAAGAACATGATTCACAACTGCTCCTTGATTGCAAGGTAAACTTTTTTTGTTTTAATGAAGAATTGTGCCTGTATATTTTATTTATCCTTTTGGAGTTGAAATGTTTAGTGGAATTTGAATTACTATTTTATCTTCTTATATTTAAAAATGCAGACATCAGGTATTTCCTTTTCCTGGTTTTTATTCATCTTCTGAAATTAAATAGCCATCTTTTTATCCAGTTTTTAAAGAAAAGGCTTAATATAAAAGACAAACTTTAGAAATTAGACTCTGTAAAAGTTTTTGGAGGAAAAATGTAAACTTTTAGTGCTAAACCTAATTTCTAACTATATCTTGCTGCTAAGCTTATCTATTCTCTTTTAGTAGCCACATGATACTGACTCTAGTCAAAATATTGACTAATATGATATTTTAAGGTGCTTGCCCTCTCCGCCTACTAGTATAAAAGAATATAACATCTATATGTACTATCAACCTCAAGACTGGTGTGGATGCCAAAGTAATTAATTCAAATAAACTTTATAAAGTATAATAGACTAGGAAAATATATGATATTACCACTTACTGGATATTTTATTTTGGTAAAATTTTTACCTCTGGACATTGAGTTTTCCCCTCCCTTTCTTCTTTTCTTCCACCTACATAGAACTTGGCTTATATTCTTATTTCAGTAAAGCTACAGCTTTCAAACTCTCTGCTAGGACCTCCTAAGGTAACATCACAGCAAATTCACAGGGGTGCTATGAAAGATTACTGAAAAACTAAAGGTTTTGAGTTGACATTCAAGTCTCAGGGGTTCTCTGAGTTGAAATTCATAACTTATGAAGTCAGTTATTTTATAATTTCTATTTATAATTTTTTTTGAGATTTCATGTCTACTAGAAGTGTATTTTCATTTGTATATTCTAACATTTAGAGTAGTAGATGCTTGATGTTTTTAAATCCTTTTCTGCTAATTCCAACATGTGGATCATCTTGTGGTTATCACCATTGGTTGCTTTTCTTTTAAATATGGTTCATATTTTCTTTTTTTAAAAAAATGTTATTTATATGTCTGGCAATGTTGGGTCATAGACTGGATGTTATGAATGATTTGCTGTGGAGGAGAGATTGGTAAAGTACAGTCTATGAACCAAATCTGGCCCACTGGGCCCGTGAACTAAGAATGTTATTTACATTTTTAAATGGTTATGTTTCAGATGGTTACATAATTACCTACTTAATATTCTCAATATTGCTTTGTAGCCATCAAAGCCTAAAATATTTACTGTCTGGCCATTGAAGAAAAAGTCTGCTGACCTCTGACTCTGGATTCTGTTGTATTCCCCTGAAGAGAGATAACTTTTGTTTGGTTAGACAGTTAGCTTGGCTGAACTGACTCCTAGCTCTGTCCCCTCTGGTAGGCAGAAGCTAAAGTCTTGGTTTCTGCCCTACCTACAAGTGTAGTTCAGAATCAGTAAGAGATCTTAGTGCATTTTATACATGGAAGTTTGGACTTGCAGCCAGACTTCTTTCTACCTCTGTCTTGTGATTTTTTAAGCCAATAAGATTGTAAGTTTCTCTTTGAATGGGGCCTATCTCTGGACAAAAATCATTAACAAAAAATCTCATAGTTACTTCCCAAATTAAATCCCGAAAACCCTTGTTTCTCATATTAACTCTTCACTTATTGCCTGCTTTTGATGAATCTTCATGTGTTTGAATGATTGTTGTTTTATAATTTGTCAGGGGCATATAATTGTTAGCCATGGGAAGAGTATAAATATGAGCTACTCAGTGATTACTAGAAGCAGAATTCCTTTATTAGGGGATAAGATTAATCATTAGAAATGATATATTTATTGTTACACTAGTTTTACTGTAGCAGTAATTTCACATGCATATACATATGTCAGAATTCATCACATTGTACACTAAGCAGTTTATTGTATAAACACAATAATTGATGTATAATTCAACAATAAAGTCTTAAAAGTGGAACAATTTCTGTGTAAAAGAGCTTTGATTAATTTAGAACTCTAAATTATTTGACTATAAAATAGGTAGATTTACTTTATAAATCTATTTCTGCAGGTCATGCTTAAATTAATCTAAATTATGTATAGCAATACAAAAAAAGTTAATTCGAAGGATGGTAAGTTAGCCTAAAAGTTTTTTTGGTAGGGACATTTGACTAACATGAAAATCTTTCATGTGAAGACTGAGAAAGTTCATTATCTATATTTTGCCCCAGAATAATAGTAGAGGAAAGAAATATGTGGTTATTGCATTGGTTAATCTGAGATTCCTATTGATTTTTCATTGATCTCCTCATGTCTTTGCTTCCTCATCAGTAAGAAACAGCATTTTTCTTAGGAGATGAAATTGAAGGTATTTCTTATTCTTTTTTTTTAATGTCCAAATCTGCTTCTTTGAGGATTCCTGGATATTTTATTCCAGTGATTGGTTTTAGACATTAAAAGTATTATTAAAGTTATCCAGAAAAATTTGCAGATTTGGAGATTGAAGGAGAAAAAAGTAGTAAGAAAACTGCAAACTCTGCTTCGATAGTGTCATACGTTGGGATACTGGGCTTTGGGCAGTTACTGTGGTACAAAGTGAGTAGTGTGATTCATAGTCACTGTAGAACAAGAAATGAGCATCGTTGTCTGATCCGAATCTGAGGTTAGATTGATTTTAGAGTGTCCAGTAGGCACCCATATCTCATTAAGAAGTAGTTCTGGTTATTTAAGAATGTAAGAACACTTTTATTTCAAATTTATATGTGTTACTTTATCAAATGGATACTAAGGAATTTGAATATAGATATACATTTTTGGGATTTAATTTAGCAATAGGAACCACCATAGGTATTTTTTTGAGCTGGGGGGCACCATGAAAAAGTGACCATGTCAGTGAAGGTTCTGTGAAGTAAGACAGTGTTTTGGAACCTCTGGATTAAGGAATGATTTTTTTATTGCCAAAATATATTTCTTCCTAGTTCAGTAAAGCCTTGTAAAGTAGAATGTTGGACAAAGTTAAATTTAACGTCAAACTCTTTTTTTTTGTAACACTGTATCTTAAAACTATTAATTATAGTATGTTTCTTTTTCTAATTTAGTAAAGACAATAAACATTTTCTTTGATGACTCATAATATAAAAGTGTCTTGAGTCTTTATTAGAACATTTGCTGTAGTCATCAATTATTTAGGAGACCGGACACATGTATATTAACTTCAGACATAATTTTATAAGTTAATTAAAATGATACATACTTTCTGTCTAATTATTTCTTATCATTTGTGTCTACATTAACCAGCAAAGCATACTGGGTCCTGTGGGGGGAATAAAGGTTAATTGAAGGCTCTGACATTTGCTCCTTAATTAATCGGTTTTATATTAGAGAATTATGATTTCATCTTGGAAATTGGATTTACTGACAGCCATTTAGAAATACAGCTGTTTTATAAATTGAAATATACCTTAACATAGAAACCTTTTGTGAAAGTATTAATTGGTAATTTACTAAATCTTTTTAGAGAGGCAACTTGTTGTTTCTAGTGTAACCCTTCATATTTTACCTTAAACATTTTTTTAATTATGTAACTTGATAATTTTTTTTTCATGTTTGAATATTTTCTTCAGTCTGTGAAAAGGGAGATGTAGCTTGGAAACTTCTCCAAGTTTTGCTAAAGAATGTATGATGATGTTTCTGCCTTTGGGCTTGCCATTCTGGTTTTTTTTTAAATTTTTTATTTTTGTGAGGTCTCGCTCTGTTACCCAGGCTGAAATTCAGTGGTGCTCTCTTGGCTCACTGCAACCTCCGTCTCCTGGATTCAAGCCATCCTCCAACCTCAACCTCCCAAGTAGCTGGGATTACAAGCATGCAACACAATACCCGGCTAACTTTTTCTGTATCTTTAGTATAGATGGCATTTCACCATGTTGACCAGGCTGGTCTTGAACTCATGACCTCAAATGATCCACCTGCCTCAGCCTGCCAGAGTGCTGGGATTATTTGCCATTCCTGTTCTGTAAAGTGTTCTCTTCTCCCTATTTCTTCAAGGAGAATTCTCATGCACCATATAGCACTGCATTTGATTCATATCAATCAGGTCTCTTATTGCCCCGATCGTATATTTTACAGATCTCTTTGCTTTTTTGTCTTGACATTGAAGGACTTAAAATCATTTCTTAAATCCATTTTTATATAGCAAGTGCTTACCCCACAATGCACATTCAAAAGTATCTGCTAAATGAATGATTGAGGCCTATTATTGTCTCCCTTTTTGCCTAATTATATTTTCTCTTTTTGAAATCTTTCTTTATGCAGCGCCCTAACCATTTCTAATATTCAGGCTGGATCTACTGGAAATTGGGGCTGTCATGTCCAGACCAAACGTGGGAATAATACGAGGACGGTGGATATTGTGGTATTGGAGAGTTCTGCACAGTACTGTCCTCCAGAGAGGGTGGTCAACAACAAAGGTGATTTCAGGTCAGTGTCATGGAAAATACTGGCAAAGTTTAATTTGCCCCAGATCCTTTTATTGTCTAAGACACATTATTGGTTTCCTATCCTGAGTAACACAGTTTGAGAACCATCTGTGTCTGAGGACTACCACTAGAATAATGATTTCAGAATCACTTACGGAGATGAACAAAAGAGTTGCTTGAACTGTATCTCAGACCTGTTGATTTCAGAGTCTCTGAAAGTAGAGTCATTTTTAATAAATGGTTTTGTTGTGTAAGAGCCACTGCCTTAGGGAAAAATTTGGGATATTCTAGTACAGAATTCAAACAGGTTAAGGTATTTTCTGTGTTTTTTCCCCCAGTGGCTCTTTTATAGATGAACATTGGAAGGTCTTATATTGCTAAGGTACTTTTCACCACTGGTGGTCAGTAGGTCTCATAATTAGAAGAAGCACATATCTAATTTTCTCCCCTTGTTCAGTTCTTCTGGAAATCAAAAAAGAAGGACTTTGGGAAATACTGGTTGGCTGCTTGTTTGGTATTTTCCTCCCTTATTCCTTCCTCTCTCCATTGTTAAGCACAATTATTGGCATAAAAGAGGTTTTTAATACCTATTTTTAGACTGTAATCTAGCCTGGGCAATAGAGTAAGATTTCTGTTCTCTCTTCCGCTTTCTTTTCCTCTTTATTTCTCTCTTTCATTCTTTTTATCTTTCTTTCTCTCTTTCTTCCTTTATTCTTTTCTTTCTTTCTTTCTTTAAAAAAAAATGTTGCAAGCCTGGGTCTAAATAAATAAATGAGTAAATGTGAGCCTGCCTCTAAATAATTCGATAGCTAGATAGATAAACACATAAATCCAAGCCTGCCAAAAAAAAAAAAAAAAGATATTATGCAATTAAACTCCCATTGCATTAATAAGATTGAGTTTAGTGTTGCTTGATCTATTTATGTGATTTTTGTCATGAATTCTATTTTGGTGTAACTGATAGTATAATTTAGTGTATTCTATGATTAGCATCAGTGGTAACCTGTATGAAACATGTTGGATTTCATGCCCAGTTTTGGAGACATAGAGCTCAAATAACAAAGGTTTCTCCCAGCCCAGTTTTGATGATCCGTGTCATAGGTTGTATTGACATGACATGCCCTCCTCTTTGATTTTTTTTCTCTGCTATTGTTATTTCCAATATACCTGTGTCATTTAGATTTTCTTGTATAATTTTGTCTTTATCTCTAGATGGCCCAGAACACTGGCGGGCATTACTGCATATCTGCAGTGTACACGGAACTCCCATGGCAGTGGGATATATCCCGGAAGCCCACAGGATGAGAGAAAAGCTTGGCGCAGATGTGATAGAGGCGGCTTTTGGGCAGATGATGATTATTCTCGCTGCCAGTATGCAAATGATGTCACTAGAGTTCTTTATATGTTTAATCAGGTAACTAGAAAGTCTTCAAGCTTACTTGGGTTGTGGAGAAAACATGGTATTCAAACCAAATACGTAAGTTTTTTTTTTTTACTACTAGGTAAAATATAAGGATTTGGTGTTTTTACTTTAGTTGACTTAACTGTCTTCAGGATCAGGTCTATCTTAACCACTAATCAAGGTCCTCTACGAATTCTTCCTTTCCAGTCACCTTCTCCCTTTTTGCCTTTGTTTGAAGACCTTTTTGAATTTGCATCCAGCCACTGGACAGAGTTCTAACCATCCTTCAAGTTCATGTTGAAAGCCACCTCTTGGATTCCTTTTATAACCCCTTTGTCTAAAGCTATCATTTAGAATACTTGAACTACTTTTTGAGCGAGCATTTTGTTATCTTGGGTTCTATGCATTTCTTTAAACCTTACCAGACTATAAGCAAGTGGAAGATGGCTTCTGTGTGATGTATTTTCTTTTGCCCCTTATCACCTCGTAAACCTTTTTGCAATGTTTGGTGCTAAGTCAGTGTTAGAGAGAATAGATAAACAAATGTAAAACATTAGTGGCTGGGCATGGCAATAAAGGTAAGTGCCAAATAACTAGTCCATACTCTTGTGCAGTAGGAGTTCCTGGGGAGGTATTGATCACTCGCAGCAGGAATACTCAGGAAAGGCTTTATTAAGCAATTGGGATTGAGGTGTGTGTAGAATCTGGATAGGCAGAGAAGATATAGATGGTGAAACTTGTTAACCTCATGTATTTTTATGTATTATTGTATTTCACTCCAAGCTTAAAAAAATTTCCCTCAAGTGAGTTTCCATTAAAATTCCAGTTTTCTTGAGTTTGTAAAAGCATTTTTAAGAAGGCCATGATGAGTAAAAAATAAAGTTTTTATTATTTGTTGCTGTTTGGAATTGCAAAGTTAAAATGTCAAGATTATGTTGATCATTTTGCTAATGACCTTTCTGTTGATCATTTGTGCCTTTGAAATGTAGATGCCCCTTAATCTAACCAATGCTGTGGCAACAGCTCGGCAGTTACTGGCTTACACTGTGGAAGCAGCCAACTTTTCTGACAAAATGGATGTTATATTTGTGGCAGAAATGATTGAAAAATTTGGAAGATTTACGAAAGAGGAAAAATCAAAAGAGGTACTTTTCAAAATTCAGATGTGTAGCATACAGTGTCAACAAATGGTAATGTGACATAGTTCAATCTGATTTTTTAAAACCCGTGTATGTTGTCATCTTTTTTTAAATTTCCAGGATTGTTTTGTTAAGAAACTTCTGCCTCTTCTCTTATAATGACCTGTTTGTTACTGGGATGGGGACAGTTGAACTCTCAGTTCTTGGACATTAAGGTCCAGAGATACGGCAGAGGTAGCTGGTGAGAAAGCAGTGTTCTGCCTCCACACTGTGGCTTAGGCAGGGCTGCTTAGCTCAGCCTGCTTCATTTCTCTTCACACACCCTTTGCTCGTCATTTGTAACAGGAGTTTTAATCACCCAAATCTTGTAGTAAGTTTCTTTTAATTGTCCTTGTAATGTCTTAGAGCAATGAGAGTCTGTTGGGGCACTGTGTTGAAGTTCCAAATGGTTAGAATATATAAGTTTTAAACATGCAATGAATTCTAAAAGTGGCATATTTTAACAGAACCACATTAAAACCATGAGATGCTTGTCCACGTGATATCCTTTAGGGGAACAAAATTGACAAGCACAGTTTTCAGAATGAATGAGCAGCAAATTAACAATGTTTTGAATAATTTGCAAGGAGCAGAATTAATGTGTTCTTAAGCTTTACATTTAAAGCTTCAGGAGAACTTTATATGTACAATTTCTTTTGTAATATAATCACTTATAAAGAAATGAATTCTAGAGGTAGAGGGAACCTCAAGCAAGTGGTAAACTGCAGCCCACACTTAGGTTAGGGCAGGCCTGAAACCAGAGCCCAGAGCCCTGACTCATCCATAAGAGTTTTCTGTAGTATCACTTTCACCTTTTCATGTAATGTGGTCCTGTCTTTTTTTTTTTTAATTATACTTTTAAGTTCTGGAGTACATGTGCAGAATGTGCAGATTTGTTACATAGGTGTACACGTGCCATAGTGGTTTGCTGCATCCATCACCCCGTCATCTACATTAGGTGTTTCTCCTAATGTTATCCCTCCCCTATCCTCCCACTCCCTGCTGTCCCTCCCCTTGCCCCCCACCCTGACAGGCCCTGGTGTGTGATGTTCCCCTCCCTGTGTCCATGTGTTCTCATTGTTCAACTCCCACTTATGAGTGAGAACATGCAGTGTTTAGTTTTCTGTTCTTGTGTCAGTTTGCTGAAAAAGCAATGGGGCAATTGCTTTTTAATCTGATTGAGCCTGGTCAACATAAGCTGGTGCTTTTGTTTTCTCAGGATAGGACTAAAAGCTATCAAACTGCCAGATCTAAGTGATGTATTTAGTGGAGCCTTTTAAAAACAGTTGAAGGTTGTCTGTCCAGCTTTATCTATGTCCCTGCAAAGGACATGAACTCATCGTTTTTTATGGCTGCGTAGTATTCCATGGTGTATATGTGCCACATTTTCTTTATCCAGTCTATCATTGATGGGCATTTGGGTTGGTTCCAAGTCTTTGCTATTGTGCACAGTGCCGTCAAAAACATACGTGTGCATGTGTCTTTATAGTAGAATGATTTATAATCCTTAGGTATATACCCAGTAATGGGATTGCTGGGTCGAATGGCATTTCTATTTCTAGATCCTTGATTCTAAAAGTGCTCTGTACACAACTGTGGAGAAAGCACTGGACTAAACAAAACCTGCATATTTCTATAATGTAGAACTTCTTAGATCCATTAATATTGCTGAAATGTAAATAATAAGACTTGTTTCTATGAATCATTTAATATGTTTTTATATATCAATTGCCCACACACACTTATACATCACATATATATTCTAATATATATTATATATTATATAGAATGCTCTTTTAGATTTATCTGAATATATATCATTAAGATTTAAATGTAATATTGCTTATAATTCAGTGACTGACGTACAGTTCTTTGGCAGTTTAAACCACAGGCCAGAGCTTTCACTGTTCATTAGTGTAGTGAAAAGAAATTAGAAGACTTAAGGGCTTCATTTATTTATATCCAAATATATGTTATATATCTTTATATTAATATAGATATGTTCTTATATACTAGATCTATCTATAATGTAATATGTTAGATATATTCTCAGATATCTACATATTATATATATGTAAATAGATGTATTCTTTTATATATGTAATATATATATAAGAATTACTATCTTGCATTCTGGTGGAACTGTAGCCCTAGTACATTAGGTACTTTACTTGGTAGGATGTGGTTATTAAGGGAAGGAAAACAGATATTTGTATATAAATGGGACTTAGGCAGATAGGCCAACTCACTTGTCAATGGGGTAACATTTCATTTGTTTTCTGAACTTCGGGGGCCATGATTTTCTAATAACTGCCTCGATACTTGATTGTGTCTCTGAGCTACAGCCCTCTTTCCTGCAGTGAATTTTCCTTGCACTGGGAGAAGCTGTTTGAATTCTGGCTCTGTGATTAATATTGTGCTCCATTTTTGCTTAAGATCACAGGTTAGCTGCCCACAGGATTAGCAGTCGTTTCTGGTAGTGGGATGTGTCTAGTTACTAGAATAATTGCAGTGGTATTTGGAATGAGGACATGGAAGAACATTCACCATCGAGGAATACATGTTTATGATGTGACTCTGTTTTGCTCACCTCTCAATTTGAGCCACGTGGTATCCAGAGGTATATACTGAACTGTTTGCCAGCATATGGAAGAATGGTTGGGTGCACTGACAGGTTCTTAGGTGGAAGCATTGTGAACTGGAAATAGACATGGTTTCATTAGTTATTAATTAACCATGGGGCCATTCCTCATTTTTCAAATGGGGATGTTATTTTCTCTGTATAACTTGAAAAGTGTATGTGTACAAATACAGGTGAACAATTTTGCAAAATACTTGCAAAACTTGGGCATAATTTTAATAGGTCATGAAATTTAACATTTTTATAACTCAGAAGCTAAGAAGAAAGTCCATTTAAACAATCACGAGTTCACCAGTTACTTCTTAAAAATTTAGTTTGAAGAAGATTGCTGCCACTTTTACTGGTTAACATAGGATGGCAAAGTTACAATTATCTTTGGAAGCAAGTGATGGCAACTTATTAACTGTCAGCATGAGAAACAGGAAGATATTCAGGATTGAATAATTGAGATATAAATGTAATACTGCTTGTGATGCAGTGACCGACATACAATTCTTTGGCAATTTAAACCACAGGCCATAGCTTTCACCATTTATTAGTGTAGTGAAAAGAAATTAGGAGAGTTAAGGGCTTCATTTTAAGTTAATTACCACAGCATGCAATTATGCCAAATTATCCTAAAATGCATATAGCTTAGATAGACAAATAATTAATTAAATTGATTTTTGTATTATGTCTAAAAGTTATTCTTTTATGGGTGATTTTATAACTAAAGTATTTTGGGGCAATTGCTTTTTAATCTGTGATTGAGCCTGGCCAACACAAGCTGGTACTTTTGTTGTCTCAGGATAGGCACTAAAAGCTATCAAACTGCCAGATCTAAGTGATGTGTTTAGTGAAGCCTTTTAAAGACAGTTGAAGGTTGTCTGTCAGGCAACAGAAGCGTCTGTTATGTATTTACTAAAGTGATTTTTCTTATGAAAACAGTATATGTATTCATTTTATAAGATGAGAAAGTTATATTTAAAGATCAGATCTGATGATGCTTGTTGGCACCCTTATTGTCTCTTACTTTAAAATATGTGAGTGAGATGTGCGCCTTACATGAGTTTATATATAAATTTTTACACGTGTATGGCTTTTTCATTTATTTTAAAGTGTCATCACTTCTGTGTTGACAGTTATGATTTTCTTTTTTTTCTTAATCTTACTTGCCACACTTTTCTGTATGATTAAGCTTTTCCACCACATTGTTCCTAAAACTTGACCATGCATCAGAATCACCTGCTGGATTTGTTAAACGCAGAGATGGCTGCCCGAGTTTCCCCTCCCTGCCATTCCCAGTTACCATTTCAGCAGGTCTAAAGTGGGTTCAGAGAATTTGCATTTCTAGGGGCAGCATGACTTTGACACAGGCTTTGAGAACCCCTGTAGCATCTTCATTTTATATTGTTGCTTAAACTATTTTTTGGGAGGGGTCAACTTTTTAAGAACCTTTTCTTGAAAATTTCAAGAAATTTATTATCATTAATACCTATGTTGTACCTTTGCTTAGCTTCAACAATTTTCAATGCAGCAAGCCCTCACTTAAGGTCATCGATAGGTTCTTGGAAATCGGTAGGTTCTTGGAAACTGCAGCTTTTAAGTGAAATAATCTATAACAAATCCAAATTGGCCATCTGCTAATTGATGTAACTAAGACTTATAAAATTCCTAGAGGTCATTTCTTGTCACAGAAACACCAAACTTTCAAATAAGGACTCTAAACATTTCTAATATTAAACACTGAAATAAGTGTGAGCCATACCTATGTTTAAGAAAGATTAATAAAACAAGATAATTATTTACTGTATTACTCAGTTTTCATGCTGCTAACAATGACATACCCAAGACTGGGTAATTTATAAAGGAAAGATGTTTAATTGACTCACAGTTCAGCACATCTGAGGAGGCCTCACAGTCATGGCAGAAGGCAAAGGAAGAGCAAAGTCATGTCTTACATGGTGTCAGGCAAAGAGAGAATGAGAACCAAGTGAAATGGGAAACCCTGTATAAAACCATCAGATCTTGTGAGACTTATTCACATGGCAGCGGAGCAGTCAAATCTTAAAGCTGTAAAATGATCTCCTGAGACTCCAAGTCTCACATCCAGGTCACATTGATGCAAGGGGTGGGTTTCCATGATCTTGGACAGCTCTGCCCCTGTGGCTTTGCAGGGTATAGCTTCCCTTCCAGCTGCTTTCACAGGCTGGCATTGAGTGTCTGTGGCTTTTCCAGGTGCACAGTGCAAGCTGTTGGTGCATCTGTCATTCTGGGTTCTGGAGGACAGTGGTCCTTTTCTTGTACCTCCACTAGGTGGTGCCCCAGTAGGGACTCTCTGTGGAGG